GTTGGAGCTGTCCTGGTCGAAGAGCTGGAGGTGGTGGAAGGAGTTGGAGAGCGCGGAGGAGTCGTGCGGGAAGACGAGGTAGAGGCGGGAGTCCTGCGGGGAGCTGGAGGGAGAGGGTTTGATGACGCACAGGTAGAGGCCCTGCAGTGTTCCTGCCTCCTTCCACTGGGGACTCCCTCTTCTCGGGCCTGAGACCACAGCTGGACCCCAGGGGTGGGCACGGCCCAGGGCGGATGAGGGCCTTCCCCCTCCCTGGTCGGGGGACTGACCGCCGGGGGACTAACCGCCCCCTCCCCGGTCGGGGGACTGACCGCCACCTCCCTGGTCAGGGGACTGACTGCCCCCTCCCCGGTCGGGGGACTGACCGCCACCTCCCTGGTCAGGGGACTGACCGCCACCTCCCGGGTCAGGGGACTGACCGCCACCTCCCTGGTCAGGGGACTGACCGCCACCTCCCGGGTCAGGGGACTGACCGCCACCTCCCTGGTCAGGGGACTGACCGCCACCTCCCGGGTCAGGGGACTGACCGCCACCTCCCTGGTCAGGGGACTGACCGCCACCTCCCGGGTCAGGCGCGAGAGGCAGCAGCTAGGGAAGCTGTTGGAATGTGAGGAGGGAGTTGCTTTCTGTCCGTCCATCCACCTGCTACACCAGGGCTGCTGGGCCCTGAGTGTGAGAAACTCAGAGGGAAGCAGACCCGCTCTGTCCAGCATCCTGGACCGGGCCTGCCTGACACCAAACGACCCTCTGACGTGGCGGTTACTCGTGCCAATCAGTTCCCTCTTCCTGCCTCTGAATCAGTTTGAGTTGCTCCTCTCCCAGCCGAGGGCCTGCGGCCGTGGAGGGCAGAGCCTGGTGCCAAGGGGAATGCTCACCTGGCCAACAGCAGGTAGCGGCTGAGGACGCGGAGCAGGGCGCGCGTGCCCCCACGGTGGAAGTGCAGGGCGGGCAGGGAGCCTCCGGCCTGGGTCACCAGGACCAGGTAGGCCCAGCTGAGGCCTGGCTTGGACCGGCGGATGGACTTGAGCTCCCCCAGGCTCACCCAGAAGGCCCAGGAGTCCCGGGGGCAGCTGGGCTCCGCACCTGGGGGTGGCACCGTGTCGGGAGAGGTGTGGGGAGCCAGGGGGCACATGGCACCTGTCCTAAGAGCCCACAGGAGCCAGCCCCAGGCCCACCCTCGGGGAGCTCTGGGTCACCTCACATCCATGGAAACACAAGTGAATAAAATGTGAACAGAGCCCCCCCGGGGGACATGTGCCTGCTCCACATTGGCTCCCTGGCCCTCGCTCTGCCCCTGCCCATGTTGCCTCCGACCTCTCTTCACTCCAGACCCCACCCTGGAGCCACAACAAAGGCCAGTGCCCACGCCAAGTGCCCCTCAGAGCCAGGCTCTGCACTGCCTCTTCCTGGAAGGGCTCCCCACCCCCGGAGGGATCAGATGCCTCCCTGGTGCCCCTCCTGCAGCACTCAGATGGCCTGGACTCACTGGGGATGCCCGCAGCCAACCAGAGAGCCTGGCAGAATGAGCAAGGCTGGCAAACCCTGGAGACACTGGCCTCCCCCACCCACTCTCCTGGGACTGGAAGGCCGGGGTGGGGGTGGGGAGTTGGGGGGGCTGGATGGCCATCTTGACTGTGGGCAGTGAAGCCCATGGCGCCATGACCACTGAGGGTAAGGTGTCACCACCTGCCCCCCAGGGGTACAGCTCAGCCTACCCCTCGTGGGTTCTGAGCGGCGGGGCCGAGGCTGCACAGTGCTGATGACAGCCCAGTCGGGTTCGTAGCCGGGGTCAAAGGTTGGCTCGTCCTCCGAGGTGCAGGAGTCCCCTCCACTGGCATCCTTGGGGAAAGAAGGGAAAAGACAGGGGCTATGGATTCAGTTTCTGGGTCGGAGCCGTGAGACTACCCTGGAAGGTAGCCCCGTTGAACAAAGAGGGAAACTGAGGCACAAAGAGGGCACTAAGCACTGGGACTGGGCCAGGACTCAAGCCAAGTCTCCTGGTGGCTGTCATCAAAGCGTCGCCGCCGGTTGAGCAGGTGGTCTCCAGCAGGGCGGGCTCTGCCGGGGCTGCCGAGGTCTCAGTGCTGGGAGCAGGCAGCGCTCACTAGGGCATCTCAAAAACCAAACCGAGCAGGGCGGGCTCTGCCGGGGCTGCCGAGGTCTCAGTGCTGGGAGCAGGCAGCGCTCACTAGGGCATCTCAAACCAAACCAAACCGCGCTCAGATCCCCGCGTGCCCACCAGGACGGCCGCGACAAAGAAGACACTGGGGGGGGCGGGGGGGATGTGAAGTGCGGCAGCCGCAGTGGAAAAGTCTGCAGTTCCTCAAAGGGTGAAACGTGGAGTTACCGTGTGGAATTACCCAGCACCTCCACTCCTAGGCACGAACCCCAGAGAAACGAATGCAAATGCCCACGCAGGAACTCGGACAGTATTCCTGAGCCAAGAAATGGAACAACCCAGTGTCCGCCAGCTGAGGAATAATCACAGCGTCAGAGCCACACAGAATATCACTCGGCAATAAAGCGGAGCACAGCCTGATCCACGCTGCAGCACGGACGGACCTCGAGAGCACCCAAAGCAAAGAAGCCAGACACACAGGCCCGTGGACTGTGTGATTCCGTCTATGAAATGTCCAGAACAGGCCGATCTGTGGACAGAAAGGAGACTAGTGGTCGCCAGGAGCTGGGAGAGGGGAGAAGGGGGAGCAACTGCTGACAGCTAGAGGGTTTCTTTGGGGCACGCACGGCGGAATGTTCTGGAATTGGACACTGGCTACGGCTGCAAAATCGTGCAAATACTAAAATCCACTGATTTATGCACCTCGAAAATCTTAAGTTTTACCATAAAATTGAGCTTGTGGTAAGTAAATTCTCTCGATAAACGAAAAAAGTAGCAGGCTCACTGGTTATGAAAATAACGTGAGGGGTGACGTTAGAATCACAGCAACATGAGAGGGTCCCCTGGTCTCCCCTGGAAGTCGCAGCAACAGATTTCCTCACGAGGCTGAGCGGTTCCCCGATTCCCCCGGTGAAGCATCCGAAGGTGGGGGAGTTGGAAGGAACGGGGAGGAGGGAAGGGAGAGGAGCTGAGACAGGGCCATGGACATGGGTCTCAGGAGAGGGGGTATCAGGTTGCCCCCTGCACCCCTTGCAGCCCAAGGAGATACAGGTATGTTCCCTGCCTGCGCGGTCAGTACCTGCTGCTGCTGCAGCTGAGCCCAGTGACCAGGGAGGAGCCAGCACAGAGGTGCAGCCATAGTATTTTGGCAGCCACTACTGCCAAACAGAAAAACAAAGCCACAAGCTGGCCGCCTCCCCGCCGAGGGCCAGCAGCGGGCCCCAGAGGCTATAGCATTGAGTATCAGGCTACAGAGCACATTATCTGCAGCCCTGAACACTAGGGAGGCATGTGGCTGATGTGGCTCAGTTGGTTGGGCATCGTTCTGGGCACTGAAAGGTTGCCAGTTCGATTCCCGGTCAGAGCACATGCCTCCGGGGAGGATTGCAGGCTTGATCACCTCGAGGTGCAGGAGGCAGCCAATCAATGTCTCCCTCTCGTATCTAAAAATCAATTTTTTTAAATCTTAAAAAAAAAAAATAACTGGAGAGAAATAAGCATCTTTCCCTGAGCAGGAGGAGCACACTGTGGCTAATCGCAGTGATGGGTGGGGATACAGAGGTGAGGCAGCTGAGGTCAGGCAGTCGCCATTACTGGGAGAACAAAGCCACAAGCACACCAGCCGGCCTCTCCCCCGTCACTCCGCCCCACCCCTCACCGCTGTACTGCTGGCAGCGTCTGGCTGCAGCGGACAGCACTGGGATTTTATGGGTCTGGGGAACCCCACCGCCACATTCCCCCACAGGGGTGGAGCCCTGAGACGGAGGCGACCTGTCAGAGGAGACGCCCATTCTGAGCAATCCTGAGAAAAAAGAGCAAAGCCGAAAGTATCACACTCCCTGACTTCAAATTATACCACAAGGAGACAATAATCAAAACAGTATGGTATTGGCAGGAAAACAGATTCACAAACCAATGGAACAGAACTGAGATCCCAAAAATAAAATAATTTTGACAAAGGAGCCAAAACACATCTAATGGAGAAAAGAAACCCTCTTCAATTAATAGCGCTGGGAAAATTAGAAAGCCCTAAGCAAGAGAATGAAACTTGACTGTTATCACTATACACAAAAATTAACTCAAAATGGATCAAAGACCTAAAAACTGCATTTCCCAGGCTCCCTTGCAGCTAGAGTGCCAAACACAAGATAGAGTCTACCAATCCGATACACTAAGATCTGGAAAGTGGAAATTAGGTGAGGGCAACTTCCTGCCACTTTGGCCTGTTTGGCTGATGAGCAAGGAGGAGACTCATCTGTCTTCATCTTCCTGCCCTCGGAGAGGCAACGGGGGCAGCGGTGGGGCCAGCTCAGTCTTCCAGGCCCAGTCACTAGCTTTGTAGCAGCGCTGATGACTGTGCCCTTGAACTCGACAGCGCCAATGCCGTCCCCTATGCCACAGCCCTCATTCTGGCAGTGGTGGCAGCCCCCTCACAGGTGAGTTCTGAAGCGTCCGTCTTGTTCCTCCCGCCCTGGTGCAATTCTGTCAGCCTCCACTCCTCTGCATGTCATCCCGTGCTGCTAAAGTAACTGGAGACTAACTCCTGCACCCAACCCTGCATGACGAGAGCAACGACACCAGAAGGACACAGCCTGGGTCTCCCCGTGGCCATCTCTGCTGCTGCTCCCAGGCTGACTGAGCCCCCCAGCAATCGCCTCCCCAGCATTCCCTGCGGTTCTAAGTGGCCTACAGACCCACTCTGCTGCCAGTGGGAACTGAGATGATATCTGTGGGGAGTTTGAGGACGGGAAGTTCCTGGTAAAAAAAAAAAAGGCACCTACGGGAGTGAACACCCTTTGGTTCACCTTTGGGTGTTGTCGAGGGAGAATATCGTGTTTGGAGCTGTAGCAGGGCCATGAGGGGAGGGCCAGGAACTGGCAGGGACACCTGCCCACAAGACTGCCGAAACCAGCCCCAGCAACGCCATCTCTGCCCTCCGTGCTATTTGCCAAATAGCATCTCCCTGCCTCTCAGGCAAACAGCAGGATCACAGCTCACTGAACTCTCCTGGCTGGTGGGGCCGTGCAACGAGTTCTGGCCAAGGGGCTGGGACAGATCACTTCCAGGCTGGATTTTAATCTGGCTCTTTCTCTGCCACAAGGAATGGCGACTGTTAAAATGCTGGCCGCGCCAGCAGCAGGCTCCTCGAGTACTTGTGATGAGCAGAGCTCATTGGCCAACCTGCAACTCACACGTAGGGTGAACAAACACAGTCAAAAAGGCTGGAGCTCCAGAGGCCCTTTCGGACCTAAAACAGCCTTGAGGATGCCTAGGACCCGCACGCGGTGGCAGCGCAGGATGGAAGGACACTGGGTCCTCACACACGTGAACCTGTACTTCTGGGCTTTTTTTTTTTTTTTTTTGAGAGAGAGATTTCTTGTTCCACTTGTTTATGCATTCATTGGTTGCTACTTGTATGTGCCCTGACCGGAGATCAAACCCACAACCTTGGTGTATTGGGATAAGGCTCTAACCACTGAGCTACTCAGCCAGGGCTGAATTTCTGGGCTTTTTAATGGGAGAGCAAGGAGCTTCTACCTTGTGTAGGCCCGTTATTCCTATTTCTGTCACTCACGCACAGCCAAATGCAACTCCTAACCAGTGCAGAGGGTTTCTGGGAAATTTCATTTTTCTTGATGAGGACAGATGTGATTGGTACCACGCTCGCCCCCTTCTTCTTGCCTTAAAAGGTAGATGCTCTGGCTGGAGCTGAAGCAGTTATTTACAGCCATCAGGGCAACCACAGTAGGTCTCAGTGATCCAGGCGCTGACGGCAACAATCAAGAGGCCAGCGGCTAGAGCTAGACGGTCAGGGAGTCTGACCTCTTGGAGTCTTGCGTCTGTTTAACCTGTCATCAGCCTGGTTTTGTGTTCCTTGGAGCTGAACGAATCCTGAATGCCTGTCTTCCATCCTGCTGAAGCCCACCCTGTGGGTTTGCTATTTGGAAGTAAGAGTGCCAAGGACGACAACAGTATTCTCTAGAACAGTCAGACTGCCTTCCAGGTTGGTGACAAATGCAAAACCCTGGTCCTTCTGCCCCAACTCCCTGGGGGGCAGGTGCCTGGGATCTCCATTTGTACCCCCCAGGTCATCTGAAACCCCATGGCCCCAGCTGAAGCTTCCTCCTCTCCCCCTGGCCCATCACACTGCCCCCTCCCTGACCTTCTAGCCTCCAATCTCCCTCCATTTGGTCCTTTAGCCCAACTCCCACATGCCCCCACCAGGGAGCTTTCTACACTCACACCTTTCTCCTCACATGGTTGCCCCCAGGGTCCCCAGGACAGGATCCAAGCTTCAGAGCCTAGCATTTCAGGCCCAACCACCTTTCAGCAAACCCCTCTGCAGAGACGTACCACATCCAGAGCCGAAACCCACTTCCTCCTGCCCCTCTCATCTTCAGAATCCCAGCCCAAACGCCTGCTCCCCAGGGAGAAGCAGGGCTCTAGAAGCAGCGTCCTTGGGCTCAAACACGAGTTCCAACAACCTCCTAGGTTTTTTAACCTCGGAAAAGGGGCTTCCTCTCACTGTGCCTCAATTTCTCAGAAACAGAATGGTTATGAGGGCTTAGGCAGGGTCTGGGTGGGATTCATCTCTGGGTGCCAGCACCGTCCAGCACAGGGCCTGGCAAGGAGCAGCCCCAGGAGACACGTACTGCGAAGGGTGAGGTCCTGAACTGGGGGGAGGTAGGGGTGCCTTGGACATGGGCGAGTAGCCTCGGTCGGTCCTGTTCCCTCCGCAGACATGACGGCAGGGCTGCCCCAGAGGGAACGCCACACTTCTTCAAGTTCTTATGGGCTAATAACCCGTGCCACCCAATCCACAGGCCCAGCTGTCTTCTTGTCCCGGCAGGGCTCTCCCAAGAAGCAAAGGGAGTACAGGGGCAGCTGTCCCCGCAGCCACGAACCTGCCTTCTTTCCGTGAATGGGCATCTTCAGCCCCATCTCACAGAGACAGGAAACCAAACAGGGTCACATCTGCCCTGAGGGTAGGCCTGGGACTGCACCCAGCACTTTCAAATGCCTTCCACTGTCTGGGCCTAGGACAATGCCAGTGGAGAAGAGGCAAGCGAGGGAAGCCTACCTTCTTGGAGAAGAGGATCTGGGTGGAATCTCCAGCCTCCTCCACCGGAGCCCAGTGCAGAAGGACGTCGTTGTCCTGAGGGAGGGAGGGAGAGGTTAGAGGGACTCCCCTCCTAACTCCCCAAACCATACTGGCAAACTTCTTCCCTGTTTTAGGCTTTCAGCTTGACAAAGCCTTGCCCCTCTCTCCAGTCCCCACCCTGTCCATCCTCCTAAGGCAGCGGTTCTCAACCTGTGGGCCGCGACCCCTTTGGGGGTCAAATGACCCTTTCACAGGGGTCGCCTAAGACCATCGGAAAACACATATATAATTACGTATTGTATTTGTGATTAATCACTATGCTTTAATTATGTTCAATTTGTAACAATGAAAATACATCCTGCGCATCAGATATTTACATGACGATTCATAACAGTAGCAAAATTACAGTTATGAAGTAGCAACGAAAATAACTTTATGGTTGGGGGTTCACCACAACATGAGGAACTGTATTAAAGGGTCGCGGCATTAGGAAGGTTGAGAACCACTGTGTCTCATCGCTGACAACCAGATGGCACTCCGACAGATGCAGCCTCCACCCCGCTCTGGTCCTGCCCGAGCCCTGCCCCCCTCGGCCCACCTTCTCCACAACACGGACGACGCCAGCGATGAGGGAGTCCGGGTCTTGGTGCTTCTTGGCGCTGGTGTGCAGGTACACGCCTCCCTTCTCAAACACCACCTGAGCACGGGAACCAGTGAGGGGCGGGGCCCCAGGGCAGAACCACACCGAGGGGCGGAGCTCAGAAGGGAGCCAATGGGAGCGGACCTGGGGAGGGGCTATCCCCCCGGTGGGCGGGGCCCGGGAGTGGCGAATCCCAAATACCAACAAACTAGCGAGGCGTCGGGCGGGGAGGAAGACAAGGGGTCGGGGATCGGGGATCGGGGATCGGGGT